CAAAAACCCCGCCAGCTCAGGGACACACCAGCCCTCCCCTCTCCGCACCCCTGGGCATCCCCCTCCCGCCCTTCCTCACTGCTCCAGCCCCGCAGGGAAGACGGGGCAGCGCCGGGCTGCGGGCAGGAAGGGGTTAAAGTGCTAATTGGGGTGAGGGACCCCACCCTGCCCCTACACAGCATTTAGGGAGGGTGCTCCGGGGCTGCCGCTCCTTTTCAGGCGGAGGGCGGGGGCCCCCCTGCGGACCCTGCCCGGTGTGAACGCCGTTAGACCGGCAGGAAAAGAAAACTGTTAAACCTTTTCCCAGGACTTTTCCCTGTTTTGTCTCTTCCTGCCTGCGGGCGTGGGGCTGGCAGCAGTGGGGCAGCTCCCCCCCGGGCTCTCAGGGTCTGGGGTCGGGCAGAGCCAAGCGACGAAGGGAGCTGTGGGTTGCAGGAGCTCAGGTTGTGGAATTTAATTATTTGCTGTTTTGTTCTTATAGCTATTTAACGAGGTACAAGCTGACCCGGCGCTGATGCAGGCAGCTCTGGATGTGGCGGGTTCCCCAGCCCTGTGCCTGAAATTCAGCCCAGCTCCGGGCAAGCCCTCGGTGCTCCGATGAAGTCCGTGGAGATGTGACCATTCACTCCGGAGAGGATGTGCCCTGGGTGTCACCCGCAGCAGAGGGACAGGGAGCCCCTGCAGATGTCTGCACCGTCCCTGCCCGCCCAGCCCACCTGGGCACAGCCCCAGCTCCTGCACCATCCTGCTCGCTGGGGCCTGGCTGCCTTGCCTCTGATATCAAACCCACGCCACCTCCTACGTGTCCTTTCCAGTAAGTACAGGGGATGCCTGGGAGTGGGGTCCATCCACGTGTCCCCAGTCCACACCAGTCCCCTCAAAGCCCCCCCGCCTGTTGCCTTGCTTCTCCCCGCCTGCTCAGCTGCCAGCTCAGATCCATTTGCCATATTTCTCCGTCAAAGCAGCTGAAACCCAGCCGGGTGCTGTGCTTCCGAAATAGTGCAGGCTCACTCCCCAGCTGTCCCCCCCGTCCCACCTAGCTCCCTCACAGCCTGCGTGGTTTAACCTGGGTGCAACTGGCCGGGCTGGGACGCAGCTGGTACCCGCTGGTCCCACTGCCAGGGCTCTGCAAGAACAGTGGGGCCACCTCTTGCTGTCGCCACCCTCCGCAAACCATGGCTTTTCTCCAGCCTTGGTCTCCTCCACCGCTTCTCTCCTTGCTGATGCATCAGACCCAGCACCCTGGGGTCGGGGCTCCCCCCCCAGAGCTGTGGCCTCAGGGTACAAGCTGGGGTCTCCAACCCAGTGTACCCCAAACCTCCTCCTTGCAGCCCCCCCCCCCCCCCCCCCATGTTGCCGGGTCCTCTGGCAGAGGGCAGGGCTCCTGCACTGAGCCCCAGCCACTGGGATGCTCTGGGAGTTGTGCCAGTGTGAGAGGTGATGCTCAAGGGGATGCAGGGAGCCCGATGTGGAGCCACTGGCTTGGCTTGGCCCTGGAGGAGATGGGAGAGGGCACGCACCTTCCCCCCGCACACACTGGAACTGCCTCGGCCCCTTCTGCAGGACCCCCCCCCGCCCCAGCACCCTGTGCTCTGCACCAGCTGGGCATGTCGGGCTGGGAAGTGCCACAAAAAATGTTAAGGGCCAAATTCTCAGCTGAGGCAAACTGGTTCAGGGCCTCCGAAGTCAGTGGAGTGGCACCCATTTGCACCAGAGGAGGATCTGACTGTGCATATACTTTTATATATATATTTATATATATGTGTGTGTGTGTATAGATATATTACATAAATATATATGTATGAAATAATTTAAGAAACATCCGAGACAGCATGCTGTGCTCTTGTGTAGGGCCGGGGAGGCTGGGAAGGCAGCTGCTTGCCTCCCCCCGCTCTACCAGCTTTGATTCACAAATGGAAACAGAGTCTTGAATTAAATTAAAAACCGCACGCGCACACACACGCACATACACACGACACGGTGCAGAGGCTGTAAAACTCAGAGGCGTGATGCTGGAAAGTCCAGGTGTCCCTGAAGAGATCAGATCAACTAAAGCTGAAGGAGGGGGAAATAAATAAAGGAAGGGAAACCAGCGGAGGGGATCTCACTTGTGCCGGTGTTTACTCCAGCAGTGGGTCCCCTGTGTCTGCCCAGGTCCCCGGGGGGACACAGGGACAATGTCACAGCCCTGCTCTGTCCTGGCCGGGCTGTGCTGGGGTTGGGAGAGGCTGGTGGGATGTGTGTGTCCTTCTGCATTTGCCTTGGATCCTCTTTCTCCTTCTCCACGTGCTTTGCTTTCGCTCCATCCTGGGACTGAGCTTTTTGCTCTTGGTCTTCAAGGATGAAAGGGAAAACCCAGCCCCAGCTAACCTCTCTCTTCTCTCTGCAGAAAGTTCTCCTGGAGCTGGGTTTGGTCCAGCTCGATCCTTCCCTTCTGAACAGAAGACCTCCTTCCCATGGACTTTCAGAACAGAATGACACTTAAAAAACAACTCAAAACCCCTAGAAAAACCCAACGCCCCATAAATTACCAGTTTCTTCCAAAACTCCTCCTCGTTCCCCATCCCGCCCTCCCCAAACCTCCCAGACTGACGGATCCCGGCTCCGACACGCTGTGCTCCGAGTGATTGCTGTCGGCTGCAGCGAGGATGGAGGGCCAGAAAAGCAACCGAACCGAGCATGTGAAAACAACCCGAAGGCTTTGGACCACCGTCCCCCCACCCCGGCCCTCTCCTCTGTGGGAAATGGAAAGCCCCCGGGGCCGCAGCGGCTGGGCTGCAGATCAGCTGGGGAGCAAGACGTGCTCCAGAAAGTAGCTGATGGAGTCCCAGTGCTTCCAGAGGAAGAAGAGGAAGAGGACGAGCAGGGCGGTGCTGAGGATGCGCATGCGGGTCTTCATGAGCGGGGTGATGAAGTTGGCGATGGTGGAGACGAAGACGAGCAGCACGGCCATCAGGGCCAGGATGACGTTGATGAACTTGCCCAGCAGCGCCCGGGCGTTGGCGTTCTCCACCCCTTCCAGCTGCACGACCTGCTGCTGCTGCTGCTGCAGCTCCAGCTTGGTCACCCGCGTCAGGCAGGACTCCACGGCCTCCTGCCAAGGGACAGCACGTCAGGGCTGGCTGGCGCCTCTGGGGACGCCCCGCCAGGGCTTTTTGGTATTTGCTGCGTGCTCTGAGACCTCGCTGCTGGCCGGTTTTGCTCGCGCAGCTCCGGTGGGTGCACGCCTTTGCTTCCCTCTGCAAACCCTTGGCCCACGCGATGTGCGATGCGTGCCCCCCGTGCTGGGGAAGGTCACGGTGCTGGGAGTACCTACCGCTGCAGGGGAGATGACCCAAACTGGGACAGTGGGGACTATGTGTTGGCCACCCGTGGCTCCTAACAGCCCAACGCTGCAGCCATCCACGCGGAGCCTTGCCCTGCCTTGAGCACCCAGGGACTTTAGCACAGCAGGGACTCGCTGGGGCACAGACAGGGATTCTGGGGATGTGGCTTAGTTACCTGCTTCTTGCTGTGGCAGCATTACAGTGAGGACCTCACCTGGAGGCTGCTAGAGAAAGGGATCCCCCTTGCCCACCCTCTCTCCCAGCCCGGGGTCCCTTCTTTGCCCCATGGATGGAGGGTGCAGTGGGGGGCCGAGCCCTCACGCTCCCCTACCTGGATGTCCCGTGCCCTCTCGTAGGACTGGTAGGCCACCTTTTCCTCCATGCTGGCCAGTTCCTGCTTCAGGTTGGTCATTTCATTCTGATGCAGCTCGGTGAGGTCGTTCAGCTGCTCTTCCAGGCGCTCGTACCTGCACGTGGAGGTGGGGGGGCGGGTTGGAGGGGCGCTGGGGTGGGCAGGTCTCCCCGCAGATCCCCCCCCACCTCCTTCCCCTGACACTGGGGAAAGCACCCAGCCCCTCCACCCCACCCCGCTCCTGTAGCTGGTTATGGCTGCCGAAGGGAAAGCATTGCACGATCCTCCACGGGAGCGGGTCTGGCAGTGGGGATTGCAGCTCCCCATGTTCCCCGGCGTGCAGGGCTTAGCCAGGCAAGCCCAGGTCCCCGAAGAGCCACCCTGGGTGACATGTGCTGCCACCCTGGCACCCACCCATCCCTACCTGTACCGCTCCTCTTGCAAGCACTGCGTCATGTAGGTGTAATCCCGCTGCAGCTGGGCCTTGAGGTCCTCCATGGAGTCCTCCAGGTGCGACTGGCTGTCTTTGATCTCCCGGAGCTCCTCCAGGATGGTGTCGAAGTTATTGTGGTGGCTGTCCAGCGTGTTGGACTTGGGACTCCCCAAGCCGCCGGGTCCTGCCCCTGAGTTGCTGCCACCAGCCGAGCCGGAGGTGGCACTGGAGCACTCGTCGTCACTGCCGTACTTGGGGCTGGAGACCAGGGTGGCACTGCCGCTGAGAGCCCGCGAAGCCTCCTCCGGGTGCCCGTCGTCCAACGTGTCCTTCAGGTGGGCGATGTTGTCCGCGCTGCCAAACTTGTTCCGGATGAGGCTGGCGAACTCGCGGGGCTTGGAGACCACGGCGGTGTGGGTGGCCTGGGACAGACCCGAGAGCCCTCCCTTGACGCCCTCCACCACGCCGCCGCCGAAGCCGCTGATGCTGGAGCGAACGTTGGCGCCCACGTCCTTGAGCCCCTGGTGCATGTCCCGGAAGACATCTTTGGGCTGCCGGGAAGGGCCGTTCTGCTCGATCTCCTTCAGCTTCTTGTGATAGTGCTCCAGCTTCTTGTGCAGCTGCGCGATGGTCTGCGCCGACTTCTGGTTCTTCTTCTCGAAAACCTGCTTGATGCGGGAGGCTTGCTGCTTATCCGCGTTGTTGGCCAGCTTCAGGTACTCGGCCACGTTGTCATCCCGAGCCTCCTGCTCGATTTTGATCTGCTCGGTGATCTTGAGGATCTTCTGATGCAGGTGCTCAATGGCAGCTTTCGTCCTGTGAGGGTCAGGGGTGCCATCGGGGACGTCGAGGCAGACAGTGCCGTCGGCGTCGCCGTGCCCGGCGGTGGAGGGCAGGCTGAGCGCGCCCACGTCCCCCTTGTCCAGCTACGAGCAAAGAGAGAGAAGGGCGACGTTCAGCAGTGGGAGGTAACACCCAGGCAGCCCCCGGGGAGGGGGATGGAGGCGAATGGGAATGGGGGGGGCAGAGGAGGGGGAGGGAGGCAAGAGCTCAGCAGGAGAATGGTTAACCAGAGCAATAGCGAGAAGTTGTTTTGTTTTGTTTTGTTTTTTTTTTCCAGCTGGTTAAGCATTTCCCATACCACTACTGCTGGCATCCTGGGAATAAGCCAGTTAGAGGGCGCAGCAACAAAATAGTTAGGGTTTCAGGGCTGGTTTCAGCCAGTGGTTTTCAGCAAGGAGGATCTGCCACCGGCAGCTCGCCTCTGACTTTCTGCTCTCGCTTTGCAGAGATGGGCACCCGCGTTTCTGGGCTGCTGGGCACCCAGCATCAGCCAGGGCAAAAGGAGCCGGGAGCTAGAACTGGAACCCATCATCAAATCTCCCACCAAACCAGCAGTGAGAGCAGGGATTGAGCAACTCAGAGGTATTTTAGTCTTGTTTTCAGACTTTGACTTTTTGCCTAGATGCACACAGGAGTTTCTCAGCCGAAGAGAAACTCTGCCATAACCCTGGTTTGTGGGTGACTCGGGAGCAGCTCCCGATCCCCAGAGAGCAGCAGGCTGCAGGTGCAGGGACTCCTTTGCTTTCTTTTCTAAGGTTTCTCACCTGGCAATACCAGACTCCTCTTGCAAACACAAGCTGCCACCTAGAAAGTTTGGACACATGCTCATTTCCATTTTACAGATGGAAAAACTGGAGCTTTGGGAGAGAAAATCACTTGCCTGAGGCGGCACTTAAAATCCCTGGGAGAGCCTGGACTGCAACCCAGGGTCCTGCCTCGCACTCTCCAACCTGGGCATGCTGCTTTGCCACTTAAAAAAAAAAAAAAATCACTAAATCTTTCCAGTTTGCTGGGTTTTATATGCAGATTCTTATGCAAATCTCAGTGGTTGTATAAATGGCTCCTGGCTTCTAATTAAGAGCTGCTTGAAAGTTAAATACTGTTGGCAGACCTGAATAATTTCTAATTTCCATCACACTTTCCCCGAATGACCCTTTAATAGGGATAATGCTGCGAGATCATTGCTTAGGAGTGTGTTATCACCAGGAAATGCCTTGTTCCGGAGGGAGGAATGTTCTCAAGATGCTGCTTATAAACGCTCCCGTCTGCAGCAGGTCCTGCGTGGGGCTCTGAAAAGCAGGGGCAAACGCTGCCGTTCTGTTATTTACTTGCACCTCCTTTTCCCTGGGCGCTGCTGTCCTGCTGGGAGCTTGGGGGTGTTGGTGCTTCATGTGGCGGTCTCAGCCTCCTTGGGAAGCAAAAGCAGACAACCACAAGCTCGGTGGGAGCAGCCCCCCCTTCCCAAGGCTTTTCTTCTCCATTCGTTGCAGCAACACCACTGTAATGTGGGGCAGGGGCTGGAGGATGGGAGCAAAGGGGAAAGCCAGCAGCCCCACAGCCCACAGGCGGACGTGGGGCAGAGCTGGGATCTGGCTTCAGTCTGGCTTGAGCAGCACATTTAAAAAAAAAAAAAATAATGCCCAACAAACCTGCAGAATTTTCAGACCCCTCTGCCAGGCTATTCTTAGTTGCTCAAGATGGACTGGACCCTCCAGCCACCCCATGAAGGGTTTCACTTTGGTTTCTTATCAAGAAATTAGAAGCAGCAGGAAACAGACTTTTTGTTCAGATGTGCAGTTTTCGGTACTGTCAGGGACAAACCAGTCGTGGCAAAGGAAAAGGCGGCCCCGGAGATGCTGAAATGGGAAACCCCAGCTGGGCCAGTGAAGGGGAGAAGTCGTTCAAACTTTGTTTCCAAACAGGGAAAGATTTGGGAATCACACAGACCTTTGTCCCTGCACAGCAAATCTTTTGGATTTATTCATGGGAGCGTATTTAGGAGTGCGGGGGGAAGGAAGGGCAGGATGAACGGCACGGATGTGATGCTGCCCATCCATGCTGACATGGCTGGGGTGGAATCCTTTCCCCAAGCCCCACTGAAAGCTCTGCACTCTCTCGGACACAGGGCACATCATAGGAAAGCCACATCAGGTTATTGCTTTGAAAACAACCACCAAAAAAAGACAATACTGATCTCTGCAGTATTAACAGACAGTGCCTACTAAATCCCAGCAAGCCTAAATGACTGTGCGGTGGATTTAACCAGGGGATTAGTAAAAGCCACGTTTTCCCTACATGCAGGAAACCTTCTGGTAGGCACATCAAAATGAAAGTGCTGTTTTCCAGCCCTTGTTTTCTAGGCAGGCTCGAAGGGGAGAGCAGGGGCTGATGTGGGATGCGGGAGGAATGCAGGACGCAGGAAGAAAAATTATTCTTATCAACAGAGTTTAACCCGGGAGAGCTGAGATATGCAAAAGGCTCAAGTAAATAAGCTGAGCACACAGTACTTAGAGGGCCACGGCCGGGCACAATTGTGCAATGCTGTTTTATTTGCTGCTGCAGGTTTGATGGAAGGAAGCCCAGGTGGCAGGTGAGGAGCTTCGGGGGCCAGCAGCTCGGTCGTGGCTGTGTCCCCAGCATGGGGCTGTGGGTGTCCTGGCACACCCATGACTGGAAGGGATTTAAACCCATTCTTAAGCAATTGCACAATTACTGCGAAGTTCAGAACAAAACTCTCAAGGCACTTACTCATGCCCTGAACTATTCTGTTTTCCATACCCTACAGCCTACGAGGAGGTGCAGCGGATGAGCTAACGCCGTGGCTCCTGCTGCGCTGACCCCGAGCGAGGACTTTCACTGGGAAGTGTGACCGTGGTTCCCAGCTGAAATCCAACACGGGGCCAAAACTGCCGTGGAAGGACCAGATGCACCTTCAGGCATGGGAAAAAGAAGTACCACCGAGCTGTCGAGGGATGCTGGCATGCAGGGCAGACCCGAGGAGCTGATGCACTGATCTGGCAGTTCTGCAGCGTGGGTGTCACCGTGCCCCGGGCCCTTGGCTGTGGAAAGCCACGAGGGAGAGGCCACAGCCAGCAGAGGAATACAAGCGGGCAGTGGATGTGGAGAGGTTGATTTTGGGGCAGTCATTAAATGCAGGTGTTTCTGTGGCCCCTCTTCCTCAGAGCACTTTACCAGCATCATTCGGGACAGCAGCCATCCCGTGAGCTGGTGATTGCAATTAGCCCAGCGTTGCAGGGGACGCTCGGGGTGTCCCCAGTCCCTTCCCCGTCCCCACGTGCGTTCGCAGCCCTGTGCCTCCCGGAACGGAGCCGCTATTCCCACCAGACCGCGTTACCCACCCCAGGCATTGAAAATAGAAGCAGGAGCCCTGACTCACACTTCCCACCCTCCTTTCAAGCCTGCAGCGGAGACCAAAGCCGGCGACCCCGTGTCCCCCTCTGTGTCCTGCCTGCTCCTGGCCGGACACAACGGGTCGGCAGCAGCTGCCTCCGCTGATTTATCAGCCTGAGAATAAATTTTCTTACATAATGTAGTGAGGCACACGAAGGGTTTCAGCTCGCAGCTGAGCTTCCCACCCCGTCTTTGCTGCACCGGCACGGATCGTGCCGGTGGGTTTCATTCACCGAGCGCCAGGAACGGAGGTACCGAAAGCCCCTACGGGTCTCCCCGCCCATCGGCATCCTCCCCGTGGTCTTGTTCTAACCCCAGCGGTTACCGGGACCTACCTCCATGGTGGGCAGGGCTCGGGTCCCCCGGGGCTAGTTGGCGAGGGCTGCTCGGCCGTGTCCCCGCCGCGGCACGGAGCCCGGCAGCGATGCGCTGGCTGCCATGGCGGGGGGCCTGGCCGGGGGAGCGCGGCGGCTGACGGCAGCAAAGTTTCGGGGGAGCAGCGGGGAGGGAAGGAGGAGGAGAGCCCTCCTGCAGACCCCCCCGCAGGGCTGGCCCCGTGTGCCCGGGCGCTTCCCGAATGCGCAGGGAGACTGAGCTGACGGGTGCAGCGGGATCGCCGACTCAGGGAATCTGCTGGAGCTGTTTACAGCTCTCAGCGACTGGAGGTTTCAGGGCTGTAACGCAAACCCCACCTCGTTCCTGTGGCGGGATATTCACACGCCTCCAGCTCCATACGCTGCCTCTGCCCTGACGCGGGGGGTCGGGACAGGCTGCTGTCGTTTGCTGTGTCACATACCAGGACATAAAGCCCGGGAGAGGCAGGGGGAGGCATGCACAAAGCACAACCCCGGGTGGGAGCTACATATGGGAAAAATACACTCATTAAGCAAGGAGCTGGGCAGCCCGAGGGAGCTAAAAGCTGGGAACCAGCTGACAAGGTAGTGTCTTGGCCATGCACAGGGAAGGAGCCGGGTCCAGCTGGCCGGTGGAGCGGTGCCGACCTGCTCACGCCACGGAGAGTGATGGGGAAGGTTGCACCAACCCGATTCTGCCACGGGAGAACACACGATGCACAGAAAACACATGCAGCTGACCGACCAGATATAAGGGTTTGACACTTCACGTGCGATTAAAAAGCTATGAAATGGGACATCCGAAAAGCAAACAGGGACAACAGCAGGCTCTGGTTCTGCAGCCGTTTATGCTGGGGTCAGTGAAGCTGGTGAGCGCCGGAGCAAAAGTCCTGGGTGAGAAAGGAGAACCCTGAGCTTGTGCATTTGACTTGGCCCAAACCCGTGGGGTTGCAGAGCGGGGTCGATGTGGCCAGCGCTGCAGGATCAGGCCTGGGTGAGAGTGATTGAGAGAAGCAGAATTCAAGCCCACAGCTGTGCCAGCCCAAAGCCCCCAACGTGCCCTGCTGATGCCAGGGCTGTTTGAAACCTCAGACCAACTGCGGCCGCGGATCAGAGCATCTGTGCAGCCGCAGACAACGGGCTCAAAGAGAAAGGTTCATTTGCAGCGCTCTGGTTTAGTTATTTCTCAAAACAAGCAACAAGACAACAACAGCTTAGGAAGTATTTTCAGCCACACATTGAATTGTACAGGCTGGACCGATGAGCTGATCGTGACCTAGATGCATATTTAATGGGGAAGACCGTGCTGCTCCCACAGCTGAGAGAAGCCGAGCACCGCTCAGCCTTGTGCTTCCCATCATCTCTTGGGCTGTCCCTACGTCCTGTGCCCTGGAAGCGTGACTTGCCGCATCAGAGAGGCTCGGGGTGCAGTGCTGCACCCCTGAGCTACGGTGCACAGCACAGCCAGCACTCGCCCACGCTGGAGCTGGCCCTGCGCGGGTTTAGCAGCTGGGATGGGCAGCGCAAAAATCAACCTGCCCTGGCATGGATGGGTTTAAAAGGTTTGGTTTGACGGCTCCACAAAAGCACCATCCCCCAGGTCTCGGTCACTCCGTATCCTGCAAACGTGAGCTCCCCTAAACCTCACCACTGCTCTTGCAACGTTGGGGAAGCCTCCCCATGGGGACACGTCCCTTCCAGGAGACATCGGCTCTGACAGGTCTGGGGTGCCGTGGGCTGCCGGAGCACACATGGCTGTGGATACACTGCCCAGCGGGACAGGAGGAACCGGGCACCGAAGCAGCAGCCTCCACTCGGGCTGCTCTGAGCCAGGAAAGCATTTCCTTGAATCACCCGCAGCCTTTAGCCCGGCACTGCTGGATCCCCCCTGGACTGGCAGCAGTGCTTGCGCTCGCGGCTCTCCGTGCACCACTGCGGGGAGGAGGCAGAGCTGGAGCCGTCATGGACCGATCCGTGATGTGAAGCTGCCAGAGCACGGTTCGACACCAATAACTAAAATCCTTGGTCCCTTCTAGCCCACTTTCCAGCCACGGTGGCACCGGCACCGTGCGTGGCACCCTGCCCAGTGCGTCCCCAGCCGTGCCTGGACGGCGTTTATATGAGATGGTGCTTGGGAGCAAGGAACAGGCTGAATCCACCACGCAGCAGCACAGCTCACCAGTGCTGTCTTCCAAAACCAGTCTTGGCTGCTGGCCCCACGGTGGGGAAGCAGCTCTGGAGGGACCCGGCTGGTCCCTGCACTCCAGCCTGGGGACCGCACAGCCCTGCGCTGATCTGAGCATCCCCGCAGGCCCCGTAACCCCTGAGGGAGTTGCTTCTACACGCAGAGCTGTCGGCAGCCCCCGTGTTTCTCGGTCTGTCCTCTCAGGAGGACAGCATCTTGCAGGCAAAAGCCTCCCCTCTCCAAACGGCTGCCAGTTTGTACGAGCAACCTCTGTGCGTGCCGGCGCTGAGCCCCTTCCCTGCACACCCACTCGCTGTTTGCAGGCACTGGCGGGGGGGCTGTGGTACCATCCACAGCAAAGGGCACAGAGAAGAGCAGCTTCCCCAGTAAGTTAAACCCACCAGGAGCAGAAACCAGCTGTGCCTACCGTGGGGTGCTCGGCTGTGCCAGAGAAGGGAGAGGAAGGAGCCGAGTTTCCTCCTGGTGCCACACCGATGCTCCAGAGACTTGGGGTACGGCCAGACTCCGTGGGCAATGCCACAACGCTGCCCACGGGGACCGGTGCTGGCAGCACACCCGGCTCCTTGCCAGCGTGGGTAGGAGCAGTGTGTCTCCCGTGGGCAGGCACCGCTCCTCATCCGTCCCTCCGATCCCACCCAGCGAGGGTGGATTTTGCAGCCCGGCCAAGCCCCAGGCTGTGGATGCCTCCGGGCATGACACAGGGCAGATTACGGAGGGACACTCATCTTTAGTTTAACATCTCTTATATCATCACTTCTCATTTTAGCTCAGGAGCCCGAGGTCACTTCCCATCACTCTTCCGCTGTCTCAGCAGGGCAGGAAAAATCCCCAGCTGCACAAGACACTCTGGAAAACACCCTCCCTGCTCCGAGCCTTGCTTTCCATTTCCCTTGTTTAAAGCGCTGGGGCTGCCCCGGAGCCCCCCTGCTCCCCAGCGGCTGCAGGCGGCGGAGGGAAGCGCCTTTCGGGGCTGCCAGGCACAGCCCCGCTTCTGTGCTGCAACTCAGTCCAACCCAGCCTGTTGTTAACTGTAATGCCCCCCCCCCCCCCCCGAACCCCCCCTCACCTCCTGCCAGCTCACAGCCCCCCCCAAACCCTGCCTGACCTGCCTGGCCTCGGGGAAGGATGGAGGAGCACAGATTTCCCCAGAGGAGGCTGAAAAAGCGAGGACTTGATAAACGCCAGGATGCTCAGGATAAGACTTTGCAGGAAGCTTGCTGCAACGAGACCTGGAGAGCATTTTTTTTATTTATTGGGGACCTCAGGCAGCTTGATTCATAGGAAACTGCCTGTTCTCAGCTCCCCAGAGCCAGGGGAAGGTTAGGGTTAGCAAATAATTGCAGAAGCAACAACATCGCCTATTAATGCCCCAGCAAAGCGAGGTGGAGCGGTGGTACAGCATCTCCCCTCCCGAGGGCCTCCCTTCCACACAATGCAAAAATCCTGCCGGCATGGGAAAAGTGGGGGTTTTGCAAGGAAATTACCCGAGAGGTTGGTGGTGGATTCCCCTCCATCCTTAGCACCAGCTCTGCTTTAGGAGATTTAGTCCGCTGCTTAGAAAGCTGCAGCTATGTTTTTCACACCTGTCTGTAAGAGGCAAATTTAAAAATAAATAAATCCCAGCTCCCATGCAAAGGAAAACCTTGGATAGATGTAAAATCACAGCACATTCGGTGTATGCTGGTGCTGTGTGGTGCAGAATCTGGCCCTGAATGCTTACAAAGTCCCGGTCCGAGCATTTCAACCAAGAGACGGGTCACTTAGCGATGAAACACAAACACGTGGCAAATTTTGGACTCAAGCTCTGCCTTTGCTGGCCGGCACAGGAATGCACAGGGCCTGAGCTCAGCATGGAGAAGCAGGTACTGGAAAAAAGGAGGAAGACCAGCTGAGCTGCACTAGAGTGTCCTCAACCAGGCTGGGGAAACTGCGTACAGATTATTGCGAGCCAGGATGCTGATACAGGTGAAGATCTGCAGAGCCCACCGCTCCTCAGCCTCACATTCCCCAGTGCTTTTGGTGTCCAAAGCAAGTGGCTTTTTGGAAAAGGCCTTAATCCTTGCAAGCAGCGGCCACACAGAGCCCAGCAGCAGCCTGACCTTCACCTGAGGACCACCTTGCTCCTCACCCCTGGACATCCCGAGTCTTTGCCTTGCCTAGGGGCAGGAAGGGGAGCGGAGGACGGGTACTTACAAAGACACCCAGCAG